AGATCTGTCTTGGTTTCAGAGCCTCAGTGGCTCTGTGGTGGTTGGGACAGCAGTTTCTTCTTAGGTGATTCACCTGCTGACTCCACTGTAGGGAACCTTCTGTAGGAGTTCATATCAGTCCAGCAACCAACAGTTACCAGCTGAGGGAGGGGTTGTCACACTCCAAACGAACTTCCAGGGAGGTCAGCCTTGGTGCTATCTGAGCCTGCCCCATAGTATGTTGACTGTGGGTGTAGCATCCACTCAAGATGCCTGCTTCCTAGCACACAGAAGCCTCAGTCAGCAGTCTTCAGCACTGACTGGAAGGGGAAGCAGGCAGACCCAAACTGATCCCCAGGGAGGTCTGTCCTGTTGATTTCAAAGGCCTGAGCTATGGGGTGCTCAGGGAGTGTCTTAGTCATCTAGTGCTGCTACAACAGAAATACCACAAGTGAATGGCTTTAACAAAGAGAAATTTATTTCTTCACAGTAAAGTAGGCTAAAAGTCCAAATTCAGGGCACAGCTCCAGGGGAAGGCTTTCTTTCTCTGTTGGCCCTCTCATCAATGTTCCTCCAGACTAGGAGCTTCTCTGTGCCGGTACCCCGGTCCAAAGGATGCACTCTGCTCCCAGCACTGCTTTCTTGATGGTATGAGGTCCCCAACTCTCTGCTTGCTTCCCTTTTCTTTCATCTCTTGAGAGATAAAAGGTGGTGCAGGCCACACCCCAGGGAAACTCCCTTTACATTAGATCAGGGATGTGACCTGGGTAAAGGTGGTGTTACAATCCCACCCTAATGCTCTTTAACATAAAATTACAATCACAAAATGGAGGCTAACCACACAATTCTGGGAATCATGGCCCAGCCAAATTGATACACACGTTTTTGGGGGGATATAATTCAAACCATGACAGGGAGGCAGGTAGAGTACTGACTATGGGAGCAGACTCCACTGCGGGAACTTTCTATAGCAGTTTGCAACAGCCTGGCAACCAACAATTACCAGGTAGGGGAAGAAGTGTCATGCTTTGATCACAATCCCATGGAGATCTGTGTTGTTGTTATCAGAGTCCCCCCAGTATATTGTTGGCTGTAAGTGCAGCCTCCACTCAAGACTCCTAACACACAGAAGCCTCAGTCAGCAGCCCTTGACACCAACTAGAAATGGGGGCAGATGAACCCTGATTGACTCCCAGGGAGGTTAGTCCTGTTGATTTCAGAGGCCAGAGCTATGGGGTGCGCAGGGAGGCAGGTAGAATGCTGACTATGGGAGCAGACTTCAGAGAAGGGGCCTTCTCTAGCAATTCACAGCAGGTTTGCAGGTGACTGTGTCTGGGTGGGGGAGGGGTTTTCACATGGACCTCCAGGTGGGTCTGCCTTGATGCTATCAGAGCCCTCCTGCCCCCGTAGTATGTTGGCTGTGAGTGTAGCTTCCACTACAGATGCCTGCTTCCTAGCACACAGCAGCCTTAGTCAGCAGTCCTCAGCACCGACTGTAAAGGGGAGCAGACAGACTTGAACTGACTCCTCGGGTGATCTGTCCTGTTAGTTTTGGAGGCCTGAGCTATGAGGTGTGCAGGGAGGCAGGTAGAGGGTTGACTGTAAGAGGAGACTCTACCGCATGGGCCTTCTGTAGCAACTAACAGGCTTGCAGCTGACAGTAAGGGAGGTGCTGCCATACTTTAAACGGACGCCTGGGGAGGTCTGCCTTGTTGATTTTAGAGCAGAAGCTTGGGTTCATATCTCTTTGTACAGGCAGGGGCTGTGGTGGTTAGGGAGGCAGGCTCCCTTTCTGGGGCCGCTTCCCCAGTTCACAGCAGCTGGTGGCTTGTGTGGCTGGGAGGAGGGGCAGGGACATTGGGAGAAGCAATTTTCTTACCATATTCAACTCGCTGATTTGTTGATTCTTGCCTGTCTGCAGTTCCCAGCTGTTTTCCTCTGCTCCCCGATTCAGAGTCCCTCAAAGCCAAGCACTTTTTCTTTGTTTTATTTCTTGTTGTATTTTGGGGGGAGAGTTGGAACAATGATCTGTTTATGCCACCATCTTCCAAGAATTCCCATAAGGTTTTCAATGGCTGATTTTTCAGAAGTAGATCACCAGACCTTTCTTCCAAGGTGCTTCTGGATGGACTTGAACCGCTAACAGTTTGGTTAGCAGCTGAACTCATTAACTGTTTGCACCACCTAGAGACTCCGAAGTCATCTACTCCTGAACTTTTCTTTGTTGAGAAGTTTTTGATTACTGATTCAATCTCTTCAGGTCTATTGAGAATTTCTGTTTCTTCCTGAGTCAATTTAGGTAGTTTGTGTCTTTCTAGGAATTTGTCCATTTCATGTAGGCTTTCTAGTTTGGTTGCATACTATTGTTCCTAGTATTCTCTTATAATACTTTTTATTTCTGTTGGGTCAGTAGTAATGTCCTCATTTTCATTTCTCATTTTAGTTATTCTCATCTCTTTTTTTTCCCAAGTCTGTCTAGCTAAAGGTTTGTTAGTTTTAATGAACTTGTTACTACTCATCTTAAACTACAGAAACACCAAAAGTATATTTAGTATCTCATATAGTCTGACCATCAAAGGAAATAATGGGACATGGAAGTTAAGAATATAGGCTTTGGGGATAGATCTAGCTTGTTCAGTTACTAGCTGTGTGATCTTTGACAAATTACTTAACTTCTCTAAGCCTCAGTTTTCCTATCTGTAAATGAAAATTATAATACTACCTACTTCTAAGGATTATTGTAAGGATTAAGTGAGATAATGTATATAAAACACTATGGGCTTAAAGATAGTATAGAAAAAGAAGGAGACTTGCCAGGCAGAGGTAAGAATATGTTCTAAAACATGGAAGCAAGAAAAAGTATTATGTGCCCAAGGAACTACAAGTAGTCCAGAGGCTAGAGCAATGCGTGACTGTGAGAAGTGGTGGTATATAAAGATGGAGAGATGGATTAGGGTCAGATCATGAAGGGCCTTAGGTACTTAACTGAGGAGATTGAACTTCTCCCAGAAATCTGCAGGGAGCTATTAAAGAATTCTATGCAAGAGAATGCTGTGATCAGATCTGCCTTTTAGATAGATTACTCTGGTGAAAGTGTGGAGGATGGTTAGATGAGAGCCAGATCAAAAGCAAAATACCAGCTGAGTGTCTTCTGCAATAATCTAGATTTAAAAAATGTTGAGAGCCTTTTGGTGGAGGTAGGAGAGAGGAGAAAATATAAACATATACCGATTGATAATACATGCTATATTCTCTGCTTGGCACTTTCACATTTGTTTTCCCATTTAATCTTTCTGAAAAGTCCATAAGACAATTAAATTTAAAAAATAAGTAAGTTCTACTTCATGAGGGCAGGCTCATGCCTATGTCATTCACCCTGACATATAGCAGACCGTCAATAAATATTTGTTCAGTGTCTATAAAATAAGGAAAGTCAGGCTCATCAGAGAGGCCTTGATCAAGATCATCCAGTATCAGTTCTTTCTAACTGGCCTTAGTTCTATTCCAGTTGCTCTAATAACTAATACTTAGTGCTTACTATGCTAGGCACTGTTCTATATACCTTGCATGTATTATCTAACTAATCCTCATAACTTTCTAATGAGATAAGTATTATTATTATCTCCACTTTATTGATGAGGAAATTAGGACATTGAGAAGTTAAATAGTTTGCCCAAGATCACGTAGCTAGTAAGACACAGAATCAGGCAGCCTGATTCTAGAATCCACGCTGTAAGTTAGGAAACTGTTCCACCCTTCTGCTGAATCTAAAGAAGGTAACAGATTACTCATGTATCATGTATTGTGGAAAAATGGAAAGAGGATTTGTTTTGTTTTTTGAGCCAGACAGTTCTGACTCAGATTCTGGCTCTGTCACTCCATATTTTCTTTCAGCAAACATTTATCATGAGATTACTAGGTATTAAAGAGCTGCTCTAGCATATAATTATGGAAGAGGTGCATCTTACTAGCTTTGTGATCTTGAGCTTCAGTTTTTTCATTGGTAAAATGAGAATAATAATAATACCTATTTTAATGAATTATATTGAGAATTAAAGACAATGAATTTAATTAGAGACAAAGAATGTAAAATGCCTAATAAGTGAAATGGTAGGTACTATAATTATAGTTACTATTGTTATTGTACTTATATTATTACTATTAGTATTAACCTGACTTTTCCTTCTCTTCCTGCTAGACCTTATTCCTCAGGGTTAGGCCTTTTTTTTAAAAAAAAAAATTTATTCTTACCTTTGTTTTAAATCCGGAATGATCTGGTTCTGTTTCTTCATTCCCATTATTCTTCACTACCATTTTTTTTTACACAGAGTTCTGTCATACTTGATACTTTCCCCAATCAACTATTTTTATATATGGTTATCTATATTGTTATGAGGTTAGAATGCCTTTTATATCCCGTTCTATTTAGAGACAGGTACATTAATCATTGGATGATTTGTTTTTAAAAGGTGAATATTTTAGAGTAGTCAGCATGATAACTTCTCAGGTAGAAACTTAGTCTTATGGATGAAAATTCACTTTTTTTTAGTGTTTTGCCATCATTCTGCTTCTGGGTATTTCTACACATTTCTAATAGCAGATATTTCCTAATATGTCTTTCTATAACAATTTTATCAACTTGAACTTCATAAACATTCCTTCAAATTTTAATATTTTGAATTTTATTCTTTATTATCTACCTATATTATTTAAAAATTTTATAATATCTTTTTCTAATTTACTTGAACATATACTATATTATTTGAGCCTCCAAATAATTTGTACAGTAAGTAGGGTAAGTATTATCTCCATTTTATATATGAGAATGTTGAGACTGAGGGAGTTAAGTTCTGCTGATAGAGGGGGGACCATGTCCTAGAACTTCAAGTCCAGTGTTCTTTCTACTACATATTTCGTAGCTAGGCTTAGTAAGTAGTCTGAGTTGGTGGAAAGTGCAAAATGTTGGTAGTAGTTGTATGTTTTAAAAGCACTGCAATTTACTTTGATCTTATATTTTACAGGATCCTATGTTCCAGCAGAATATTCTTCCTTTAGAATTGCTGAACAAATTTTTACAAGAATCAGTACTGATGATGATATTGAAACAAATTCATCAACATTTATGAAGGAAATGAAAGAGGTACCTGAATTAAACTTTTCTTGTGTTAGTAAACTTACTGACTTCTTCCACTAATGATCAATTATCATATAAGAAAGTACTCTTTTACTAAAATGTGGAGATGTGCTTATACCTCTCTGTAAGAGCCAGAGGGCAGTCAAAGACAGCTTCCTAACATCTGTCTTATGAGGAAATGGAAGTAAATGTTTTGTGGAAAACACAGTTTTAAAAAGCTAGTATAACTCAATGATAAAAATGTGCTTTCATGCTCTTATATGGAATATATAAAATACTTATTTTCAGAAAAGACCTGTTCAATACCTTTTTGCATAGTATCTTGTTCCTGTTAGGCTTGATTTTAAAATAAAAGATCACCATGTTAGCATACTTTTAAAAATCATTCTTTTCTTTGCCCTTAGAGAATTTTCACTTCTTATAACAAATTATTCATCATCACCTATTTCTAACCTGACCAAATCTCAAGTAGGCTTGAAGGGTGGAAGGAATCAAATATATATAGTTTTAGGGCTATCTTTAGTAGGTAGGAGTTACTGGATCACTCTACAGTTGGATACTTTTCTGCAAATAGATATGGGGAGAAAAAAGTTATCAAATGCTTCGTAGTATATGACATTTACATAATTATTTAGTACTTATTGAATGGAGTCCCTGGGTGGTGCAAATGGTTAAGCACTTGAGTACTAACTGAACAGTTGGCAGTTTGAACCCATCCAGAGGTGCTTCAGAAAAAAAGCCAGGAGGTCTGTTTCCGAAAGGTCACAGTCTCGAAAGCCCCATGGAGCACAGTCCTACTCTGCAAACATGGGGTCACCATAATTAAGAATTGACTTAATGGCAACTGTTCTTTTTTGTATTCATTGAACATCTATGGAGAGTATAGCTGTATACTAAGGACCTGAGGTGTATTTTTAAATGGTCCTAGCCCTCAAGACCACCACTTGTCTGGTAGTTTTTCGTACTGTGGTGGCTTGCAGGTTTCTGTGATGCTGGAAGCTACGCCACCGGTATCTCAAAAACCAGCAGGGTCATCCATGGTAAACACGTTTCAGTGGAGCTTCCAGACTACAACTGACTATGAAGAAGGACCTGACGATCTACCTCTAAAAAAACTGGCCAGTGGACACCTTATGCATAGCAGCAAAACACTGTCTGATATCATGCCGGAAGATGAGCCTAACAGAAGGATCTTGGCTGAAAGCAGGGAATGCCAAAAAGATGTTTACCTGTGTTTTATTGACTATGAAAAGGTATTCAACTGTGTGGATCATAACAAATTATAGATAACATTACCAAGAATAGGAATTCCAGAACACTTAATTCTGCTCATGAGGAACACGTACATAGACCAAGAGGCAGTCATTAGAACAGAACAAGGGGATACCGCGTGGTTTAAAATCAGGAAAGGTGTGTGTCAGGGTTGTATCCTTTCACCATACTTATTCAGTCTGTATGCTGAGCAAATAATCTGAGAAGCTGGACTATATGAAGAACGGGGCATCAGGATTGAAGGAAGACTCATTAACAACCTGCACTATGCAGATGACACAACCTTGCTTGCTGAAAGTGAAGAGGACTTGAAGTACTTGCTGATGAAGATCAAAGACTACAGCCTTCAATGTGGATTACACTTCAACATAAAGAAAACAAAAATCCTCACAACTGGACCAAGAAGCAATGTCATGTTAAGTGGAAAAACGATTGAAGTTGTTAAGGATTTCATTTTACTTGGATACACAATCAACACCCATGGAAGAAACAGTCAAGAAATTAAATGACGTATATTGCACTGGTCAAATCTGCTGCAAAAGACCTCTTTAAAGTGTTAAAAAGCAAAGATGTCACTTTGAGGACTGAGGTGCACCTGACCCAAGCCATGGTAATTCAGTCACCTCATATGCATGCTGAAGCTGGACAATGAATAAGGAAGACTGAAGAAGAATTGATGTCTTTGAATTATGGTGTTGGCAAAGAATATTGACCATACCATGGACTATCAGAAAAACAAACAAATCTGTCTTGAGAGAAGTACAGCCAGAATGCTCCTTAGAAATGAGGATGCCAAGACTTCGTCTCACGTACTTTGGACATATTATCAGGAGGGATCAATCCCTGGAGAAGGACATCATGCTTCGTAAGGTAGAGGGTCAGTGAAAAAGAGGAGGACCCTTGAAGAGATGAATTGACACAGTGGCTGCAACAATGGACTCAAACATAGCAATGATTGTGAGAATGGTGCAGGAGCGGGCAGTGTTTTGTTCTGTTGTATGTAGGGTTACTATGAGTTGGAACCAACTTGATGACACCTAATAACAACAGCTGTCAAGAAGCTTAGTTACATAAAAAGGTAAAATAGCTGTAAAGGTTACTTTTGTGTTATGTAATTTTTATGTTATGATGGCATTTCATATTTTGAGAAAGAAGTTAATAATCTTCAGTGGTGAAGAAGCATTTCTGTCAATTAAAGTTTTGATCTTTGTTGGTTATGGATTTAAAATGTATTTATTTAACCAAGACTCATGGACTTGGTTACAATTTTCTAAATGTTTCCTTCTATCTTTTCTGGATATAAAGAAATGTTAATAAATATAAGATCAATCAAAAAGTGAACAAAGGATATGAAAAAAAGATATACAAATGGCCAATAAGCACGTGAACTAACGTTGAACATTATTAGTCATTAAAAAAACAAAACAAAACAGAAACCTGTTGCCGTCAAGTCGATTCCGACTCATAGCAACTCTATCGGACAGAGTAGAACTGCCCCATAAGGTTTACAAGAAGCGGCTGGTGGATTCAAACTGCTGACCTTTTGGTTAGCAGCCTTAGCTCTTAACCACTGCACCACCAGGGCTAGGGAAATGCAAATCAAAACCACAATGAGATGCCACTTCACACCTACTAGGATGGCTATTTCAGAAAAAAACAAAAAACAGAAAATAAGATGTGGAGAAACTGGAACCCTTATCCATTGCTGATATAAATGTAAAATGGTATGGCTGCTGTGGACAACCTTTTAGCAGTTCCTCAAAAAGTTAAACATAGAGTTACCAGATGATCCAGCAATTCCACTCCTAGGGGTATACACAAAAGACTTGAAAGTAGGGACTCAGATACTTGTACACAATGTTCGTTGCAGCATCATTCACGATAGTCAAAAGGTAGAAACAACCCAAGTGTCCATCAGCAGGTGAATGGATAAATAAAACGTGGTACAGACATACACTGGAATATTACTCATCCATAAAGAGAAACAATGTCCTGATACACGCTACAATATGGGGAATCTTGAAAACATTATGCTAAGTGAAATAAGTTAGATTCAAAAGGACAAATACTTTATGATCCCACTTACATGAAATATCTTGACTAGGCAAATGCATAGAGATATAAGTTTATTAGTAGTTACCAGGGACGAGTGGGAGGGGGAGATGAATGAGGAGTTAATGCTTAAGGGGTCCTGAGTTTCTGTTAAGGATGATGAAAAAAATTTGGAAATCAGTAGTGGTGATGGTTGCACAATGGGTTGAATGTAATTAATGACACTGAATTGTACACGTAAAAATGATTAAAGTAGCAAATGTTTTATATATACTTTACCACAATAAAAAATTTTATAATAAATAAATATGAGAGGGTCTTAAGTATTTTATGACAGCAATTAGTATGTCATTGGTGAAGAGTAAAATGACCATTTTTGTGTTTATTTAAACATTTAATTCATATCTTTGTTTTATTTCACTGTGTCTAAAGCATCAATATTTAGATAACAGTTATTTACTCTGTGTTTTCTCACATACATATGCATATGTCTATTTTTATCCACATCACTTTTTTAAAATTTTTTTTTATTGTACTTTAGATGAAGGTTTACAGAACAAATAGTTTCTCATTAAACAGTCAGTACACATATTGTTTTATGACATTGGTTAACAACCCCATGACATGTCAACACTCTCCCTTCTCGACCTTGGAGGAGCTTTTTTTTGGTGAAAATATACATAGCCAAAGATACACCATTTGAAAGATTTCTACATGTACAATTCAGTGACATCGATTACATTCTTCCAGTTGTGCTGCTATTGTCACTATCCTTTTCCAAATTATTCCATCACCATTATCTTCAACTCACTGCCCCCTAGGCTTCACATTAAACCTTTTGAGTTGCTGTTGTCGATTTGATCTCACGTAGATAATGCTTTTTTTTTTTGTAATTTAGATGGAGGTTTACAGAACAAATAGTTTCTCATTAAACAGTACACATATTGCCCTATGACAGTGGTTAACAACCCCGTGACATGTCAGCACGGTCCCTTCTCAACCTTGGGTTCTCTATCACCAGCTTTCCTGTCCCCTCCTGCCTTCTAGTCCTTGTCCCTGGACTGCTGTGCCTCATTAGTCCCGTTTTGTTTTATGGGGCTGTCCAATCCCCGGCTGAATGGTGAACCTTGGGAGTGACTTCACCAATGAGCTAAAAGGGTGTCTGGGGGCCATACTCTCGGGGTATCTTCAGTCTGTCAGGCCAGTAAATCTGGTCTTTTTTTGTGAGTTAGAATTTTGTTCTACATCCTTCTATAGCTCTGTCCAGGACCCTCTGTTGTGATCCTTGTCAGAGCGGTCAGTGGTGGTAGCCAGACACCATCTAGTTGTACTGGACCCAGTCTGGTGGAGGCTGTGGTAGCTGTGGTCCATTAGTCCTTTGGACTAATCTTTTCCTTGTATCACATCACCTATTATTATTGAAATTAATAGTCATGAGATTTTTAGAAAGAAAAACAACATGTCATTTTCTCTGCTCAGCAGGATTTCTCCATAAAAATATATTTCAGATTAACTAATGAAGAGACTGGATTTCTCCTCATTTTGTTTTCTATAACAGTGATAGCAGCTTGGTTACAGTGAATAATATTAAAATTATATTTTTCAGATAGCATATATTCTACATAATGCTAATGACAAATCGCTCATATTAATTGATGAACTTGGTAGAGGTACTAATACAGAAGAAGGAATTGGAATTTGTTATGCTGTTTGTGAACATCTGCTGAGCTTAAAGGTATTCTCTCCTATTTATTTTAAGTGTATTAATTTTAAGTCATTTTTTGATACAACCTTTACATATTTAACATGATTGGATTTTATGGGTACTCACAAATAGCTTTTTCAATGATTTTTAGTAGTAAAACCATACAATAGCATTTATATTTTTGTTACTTCATTTTTGATAGAAGTGGAAATGATTAATATGATAGTCATGATGTCGATAAGGAAAGGAGGAAATCAAGAATTGTAAATAATCTAAAAACTGGTCACTTGACTCTAGTTTAATCAGTTAAATAGCAAACTATGAAAGCATTTCAGTAATAATCCCCATGTGTAATAACATTGAGTATGATGTCATAACATGAAATAAAGCACAAGGCATCTTAGGTCATTTTAGGGAAAATGACCTGACTAAAATTTCATTCTTTTGAAGAAAAAGATTTTTTACAAACCAACTATACTTTCTTCTAAAACGAAGTATGATTTTTGTTCTATTAAAATAATTTGTAAAATATATTTTAGATGATCACTCAAAAAATATACCAATATGAAAAAAACTTAAAAGTATTTTTCATATTTAAAGAACCTTAAAATGTCCCTAACATGAAATTCATTATCTTAAATGAGAGTATATAATGATTTATTATATGAATGAGAAAAATCTAATTTTATACTTAAAGAAATTTATGTGATGGATCAAAAGTAATATTAATAGATAACATTAGTCTTTGTAATTCTGAATCTATGTGAGTGTTAAAAGCTTATTAAAGTCTGTTTCTGAGGTATTCTGTAATAGCAAAGAATAATGCTTTCACTAATATTTTTGAATACTCTTTCTAGTGTAAAATAATTTAATAAAAATATAGTTATTGCCAGTTCCTTTTCAGGAACTTAAAGTTAGTTATTATTTTTCTGATCTAACACGATTCCAGCAATATATAGGCACTGAATAATTACTTGTTAGATTGAATTGAGCTGAAATAGGTTTACAAATTGAACACAGTCCTTGGCTTATAAATAGTTTATTGTATTTCTAAATATTTTCCTGTCGCTTTATAAATTTGGTTTATTTTTATACTCCTTTTGATTTGTTGAGTAGGGAGTTGGGATTTTTTATTTTTCTGTCGTATACATAGCTCTTGCTTCCCTCTCCACACCTTTCATGGTTGATAGCCATTTTGCCAAATTTTTACTTTTTAATGTCTTAGTATTTTAATTTTCCACTGATCACCTATTTAGTTTCTCACTGGTGATGTCTTAAAGTATAACCAGTTATTCAAACCTCTGTCTGCTTTAGTATCTTCTGGGTTGGAAACCGTGTTTTGATCATAAATCACTTGGACCACCTGCATCAAAATCACCTAAAGTTCTTATGGAAAATGCAGATTTCTGGGACCCCACATTAGAACTACGTATTGAGAATTTTGGAGGATGAACACCAAGAATTTTCGTCTTCAACAAACTCCCCAGGGGATTTATAAAATTTGAGCCATTGTCCTAAGCAGTGTTCTCAATCTTTTCTTCCCGTACAAAGACCTAACCCAAACAAAAATGCAAATCTAAAAACTATAGATCTTTGCAATTTGAAATATCTTAAACAATCCATTTGCTGCACTTGCCAGAAACTACTTATGAGGAGGGGGAAAAAAAACAAAAAAACATTGCCATCAGTCAATTCCAACTCATAGTGACCTTAGAGGACAGAGTAGAACTGCCCCATAGGATTTCCAAGGAGCGACTGGTAGATTCAAACTGCTGACCCTTTGGTTAGCAACCGTAGCACTTAACCACTGTGCCGCCAGGGCTCCTATAAGGAGGGAAGCTATTTTTAACATAAGTTTTTAAAAACTTGAGAGAAATGTTATGGTTTTGTTTGTGGGTTACTTTTCTAATAAATGATTGCCTCAGTAAATAGCTTTATTTGTGATAAGCTTCATCTTTTCAATATCTTCAGACATATTTATATCTTCAGATGTATTTCTTAGGATTATATTTTTAGATTTGTTATCTTTCCAGTAATGTAGCATACATGTGTTTATCAAAACATAATCCACATTTTCCTACTTTGAATGTAAATTTTCAGAACAGTTTAAAATGAATTGACCATTTCAGCCTCTAAGTTATTAGTTATATTCCTGCATCTCTGCCAAGCTACTTGGAAAATTAAGCCAAATTGTTACATTTAAATAGTTAAAACAGAATTTTCTAGTTCATTTTTAAAGCACTGTTATTTGCTGGCTATTATATGTTCTAGGCATTTACGCTGTTTGCTACACATTTCCTGGAACTATGCCATATAGATGTCCTGTATCCTAATGTGGAAAACATGCATTTTGAAGTTCAACATGTAAAGAACCCCTCAAGAAATAAAGAAACAATCTTGTATACCTACAAACTTTCTAAGGGACTCACTGAAGAAAAAAATTATGGTATTGTATATAGAAATTATATTTATACTTTCAGACACTACATATTCTCCTGGCAAACTTCCTTTTCTTTTTTACTTAGCTGTCAGTCTCAGCAACTTTCCCTCTCATTCTTTGGGGTGCTTATATGCTCTAAGATTGTATTTTCCATGATATTTCAAACTCACATTTTGTATGTATTAAGCTTAATGTTAAATTGTTACAAACCAGTAACTGTGTAGAATTATAATGACATGTAAAAGCCCTAGAAAGTATTAGTTTCTATCCTTAGAAAAATGTAATTTAGTTTATATTTACAACTTATATATTAAATTAAAGATTGTATATTTCCTACACACCCTTAACAAGGTTCTTTCTCTGTTTTCTTTAGGTTTAGGATACTTAGTAATTAAATTTAAAATCTTAAAGGGATTGTATAACTAACCCATACAATATTCTTAAAGTTGATTAGATACTTTCTATCTAAGTCATTATATGACATGTGTAAAATCTCATGAATTCAGAGAATTTCCAATTGATCTGTTCATCTAAATTTCCAATAATTATTTTATCTATGGGCGTGATCCTTGTGAGAAAAAAGAAAAGCATCTTTATTTTGCTATTTGAAATAGGATATCAACTGGATAACTTATTTTCACCAGATATTTAATCTTTATAAGTCTCAATTTCATTATCTATGAAATGAGGGATAATTTTCCATGTATGTGGGATTGTGAAGATTAAATTAATTATCAAGTATGAAATGCATACCATAAACCCAAAACCAAACCCGTTGCCGTTGAGTTGATTCCGACTCATAGTGACGACATAAATGTTAGCGTTGCTTTTATTGTATCTAAAGCAGTAAGTATTGGCACACAGTAGACAGCTTATATGTTGTTTATCCAATACAAAGCTTTGAAAACATGAGAATAATAGTTGGTTTTTGAATCTACATGAAGAGTAGTCACCTTCCACTACATCTTCTGAGAAATCCCTCTGCCACTGAACTACTAAATAAACAAATGTCCACCTGTACGGTAATCTCTATGTGTAGACATTATCCCTCCCTGCAAAACCCATATCCTTTGACCTTCTTTTAACCAACTGTATTTGTAGTTGAATTTTCAATGTTATTATTTTCTGATTGCCTCTTTTCCTTTCCTGTCCTTTCCTTTCTTTTTCCTGTCATGTTTCTCTGCTACCTTAGAGGTGGTAATTCATATTCTAATTTGCCTTAAATGTCTTGGACAAGTTATTAAATCTAGTAATTGGTAAATTGTCACCCAAAGCTTTGGGAAATATAATTTTGAGAATAGTTGAGTAATTCAGAAATTCTTATAGAAAGGGAAGTTTAAATCTGTGAAGAAAATATTAACACTAGTTAAAAAAAATATAATACTAGCAATAATTATATTGAAGCCCTATTTATTTTTATTTTTTAAATAATTTTTAGGATTAAAAGCTGCAGAGGTGTCATCACTCCCACCATCAATTGTCTTGGATGCCAAAGAAATCACGACTCAAATTACCAGACAAATTTTGGTAAGAAACTCTTTAGCAATAAGAATTATTTTGTTTTTCAAGCAAGACTGCAAACAGATATCTGTACACCTATGTTCGTTGCAGCACTATTCACAATACTTAAAGGTGGGAACAACCCAAGTGTCCATCAGCAGATGAATGGATAAGCAAAGTGTGGTTTATACATTCAATGGAATGTTACTCAGCCATGCTACAACATGGATGAATCTTGAAAACATTATGCTGAGTGAAATAAGTAAATCACAAAAGGACAAATATTGTATGGTCCCACTTGTATGAAATAGGCAAAGGTATGGACACCAAAGCTTGTTAGTGGTTACCAGGGGTGCGAGCAAAGAGGAAAAGGGTAGTCATTGCTCTGGACACACTGAGTTTCTGTTAATCATGGTAGAATAATTTGGGAAAGGATAGTGGTGATCATCACAACATGATGAATGTAATCAGTGTCAGAACTGTACATGTAAAAATAGTTGATTGGCCAAAATTTTGTTATATATTTCTACAACAATAAAAAATTTAAATAAAGAATTATTTTGCTTTTCAAATTAAAGAAAATATTTTTAGTTCATCTTTAGTTTATATCTTTATTTTAGTTTTAGTTTGTTATTTTATCTTTAGTTTATATCCTTATTATGGCTTTTTATTCTAAATATGTAATAATTTAAATAAATAAAGTTTAAAAAATCTAATTCCTAAATAAATACTTCTTAAAACTCTTTTGGTCTGATCTATTAATTATAGCCTTCCCCAGCAAATCAGCTGGTAAGATAGGAGACAAAAGTTAGTTCAGTTCCTACCATACTTATTGCTATACTAACTTTATGATGAGAAAATAAATCTATATAAGGTATGCATTTAAAAATAAAAATCACATTGCACAACATTTACAAAACGTTTTAGTTTTCAGAGCTCTTCTATTATCATATGTGAACTTCATAACTTCATGAAGTAGTTAGATCTATCTAATAAAAGATAAATAATAAAAGTATTACTTTTTACTCTCTTTTTTTTGTTTACTTTTATTTTATTCTTTGTTAGTAAATAACCCTCCCCCTCCCTCTCCACCCTCATAACCATCAAAGAATGTTTTCTTCTATGTTTAAACTTTTTCTTGAGTACTTATAATAGTGGTCTTATGCAATATTTGTCCTTCTGTGACTGCCTAAATTCACTCAGTATAATGACCTCCAGCTTCCTCCATGTTATGTTTCACGGCTTCATCGTTGTTCTTTATTGTTGCTTAGTATTCCGTTGTGTGGATATACCATAATTTGTTTATCCTTTAGTCCATTGACAGGCACCTAGGTTGTTTCCATCTTTTTGCTATTGTGAACAGTGCTGAAATGAACATGGGTGTGCATATATCTATTCTTGTGATGGCTTTTATTTCTCTAGGATATATTCCAAGGAGTGGGATAGCTGGATCGTGTGGTACTTTTATTTCTAGCTTTTTAAGCAGGTGCCAAATCGATTTCCAAAGTGATTATACCATTTTACATTCCCACCAACAGTGTATAAGTGTTCTAGTCTCTCCACAACCTCTCCAGCATTTATTATTTTGTGTTTTTTGGATTAATGCTAGCTTTTTTGGGGTGAGATGATATCTCATTGTAGTTTTGATTTGTATTTCTCTAATGTCTAATAATCGTGAGCATTTCTTCATGTGTCTGTTAGCAACCTGAATGTCTTCTTTGGCAAAGTGCCTGTTCATATCCTTTGCCCA